AATTTTTTTCTAAATATTTTAGCACCCTGTATCGCAAATTTGAGCCTTTTAAGACGTACGTTTGCGTGAAGTTTTTTCCTTAAAATGAACTCAGGAATAATGCGCCATTAAACATGAAATTGGTCGTGGAATTTTGCGCAAGGCTTTAAAAAAACATAAACAAAAACATTTCTTGTTTGCTCGCCCGGACGCGGGAAAACGAATTTGTTTTGAGACGCGCACGCGCGTACTACGTCATCGCTTACGGAACACGAGAGGCGAGAGGTTTGTTTCTTGCTCGGACGTTGAAATCTCCCGTAGTTATTTGTTATTTATGTCCCGTCTCCGTTTAACGCGTGCCGTCGTCCTCGTCTCGCCTCATCTCGCCTTCTAGCATCCTCGCGCGTATGTTCCTCGAGATATTCGGAGCTCGGTCCACCATCGCTACCGAGCGGCAAACCGTCGGAACACAAGCTCGCGCAGAAAGCAATTGAACCAGATTTCATTGCTTTGGAGAATGGTGTTCCCCAGGGGAGTATTCTGGGACCTATTCTGTTCTCAGCTTATACAGCTGATTTCTCTACTTTTATTAAATTTTGTAAATCTCATCAATACGCCGATGATACTCAGTTATATTTGTATTTTGTTGCTAGTGAAGCTTTAAATGCCGCCACTAAAATAAATTTAGATCTTAAAATAATTTCGGAGGTATTATTAATTTGGGATAATACACTGTATATTAATAATGGTTTCTTAAGAATAACTAAATTAATAACTGTAAAGAGGTTCGATGGTGCTGCAATTTTTGCTCAGTATTCAATAAAAAACACAACTCTTCAGAATTCGGAGTAAATGTAAGCACACTGTATATTTTTTTATTCTCATTGAACTCAAAATTTTGCATTTTTAATAATTTACAGCTGAAAACAATAAAGCTAGGCCAAGCAAAAGTTTGGAAGCTTACGAAGTGTATTCAGATTAGATGGAAAAAGTTACGAAATACACAAGATATAAGAAACTACAATTTTTAAAAGGCGCTGCATCTCAAAAGCGACAAGGGACCTTTCGGTTCGCAAAAAAGTAGCACATCATTGCCTTTCGTACAGTTAGTTCTAATAGAAAAGAAATAAAAGTTTTATGGCTTGTTGTATGAATTCTTATTATTATTAGTATTATTATTATTACTTCGCCTAAGCTGAAAGAAATTCGGACAATGTGACATGTCTGAAGTGTTATAGCTTTTGTAACAATTCCCTTCATTGACATAACCAATGGTTACTTCGTTAAGACGCCATATTTGTTTTAGCTGGATAGCCAGGTCGTCATATTTTTGAACTTTCTCAGCTTCCGTGGATCTCAAACTGTGGGTCAGCGGTATGGCAATATCAACGATGTCTCTTTGTTTCCTGTTTATTAATGAAGAGAATATTTGGTCTGCTCGAGATTTGATTATGGTTCATATTTGTTGATTTTCAATATATGTTTTTCATAATTTCTAGTCCTAATTACCTTGTCTTGTATTGCGAGTATAAAGCCCTCAATTTGAAGATAAAGAAAGATAGTCCTTATAAAGCCACTTTAGTGAACTGCTGCTTAAGTTGGGAATGGTCTACTTTCATGTTTTGTGGTATACCAAGATATTTGTATAAACAGCCGGGTTCTAGGTTTACATGCCTACAAAATATTCTTTTTCACCTGATGGTTCAATTTTTTACTTTCTTGATACTTCAATGAGACTGTTCAGTTTTGATCGAGTTTTTGCATACATTTTTAAGTCATTAATGAATAACAAGTGGTTTATTTTGAACTTATTATTATTATTATTATTATTATATCTTAAATGTTTCTAAGAATAATAAGAGACTATGAAACGACAATTTTTTTTTTACTATTTTGGAGGTTTGTGTTATAGTAGGCAAAATGTAGACAATTCTGGCAAGTGTACATGATCGATCGATGCTTGGCGTAGTTACAGTCCAAAGATCTACAACTAAAAATCATCAATATAGTAACTCCAGCATTGTGTTTCTGTTGTAATTTCGTTATTCGTAAAACAATCGCGTAAAATTCACGTCTCTTGCACAATGCCAGTCCAGACGTATTTTTTCCCGACGTTTCTGTGGATCGACAACGACCGTTGCGTTGATATACTGTTTACATAAAAATGTTATCTCCCGTGTTTGTACAGGGCCGTCCGTGTTGACACTGCGATAACTTGAACGACATAAGACGTAAATGAATTAAAAAAAAAAAAAAACCGATCACCCTTCTTCCAATGTCCCGTGCAAGGAGCCTATTTGTATTTAGCTTAGCGATATACGCATTATTTTCCCTTCATCTACCACTTTCACAAACCTATTGCACAAACTTAAAACCAAAATTCAAAAAGGTGAAAACAAAAAAATCCACAATTACCAAAAATCATCGGTTATCAACTCTCTTGTTCACAAACAAGTCTTTACCTTTCATCAATATGAGAATCAGAAGGAGTCCAGAAGTTTTGTAAACACTATTGCAGTGGCATGTGGAAGTTTCTTTGAAAAAAAAACTAAACAATCCAAGTTAAGGGCTTGCTTTCCTTTTTTCATTCTTCTTCCAACATTTCTTGTCTTTACCCCTCACTACCCATTTTCTCAAATCGATATAAATTCGTTTGTATTCAAAAATATGTTTGTTATCTTCTTTTTTGTACTGCTATGTTGGCAAAGACAAATAACCGTACTGAGATATGAGTAAGTGCAGGTATTGGCTTCAATAAGGAATACAAAGGCATTATCATCCAGAGCAGCTTTTTGCTGTGTCGCAATCATATTTTATTACTGTTACCTGGTATTTTATTGAGTTTTTCGAATTCCTTCTCTTTTGTTGTAACATCTGATGGTATGGCATAGATTATTCCTAACATATTTTATTATCATAACTGGTTCATTTGGCATCACAGTTCTGTCTGTTTGTACTTGCGTATCCCATGCTTTTGGGCTCGTTTTTGTACCAAGCGCGCTCTACCTCTATACCGTATTATTAGTATTATTATTTATTAATAGAAGGCTGTTATTTTGCCAGAACTCGATATTTCGGATACGTGGGCGGTCAAAACGTACCTTTAATATAGTTGGAAACAAAGAAAATTTGACCCGACGCCGCGAAGAATGCAATCTGACTCGTGACGACCGGCGGTCGGTGGGGAAGGAGAGGCGGAGACAGCAACCACGTAGTAATTTGCTAGGTACTCAGTACTTATAGCGTGATCTTTGGCATGCAATATACGATGGCCGGTTCATCTTCGAGGGCAACAAATTTCGATACTCTTTGCTCGGAGATGCAGTATTTTACTTGAGGTTTTTGTTTTTCAACATACAGTGTCCTATTAGACGTTTATGGAGAATGATTTTGCGGCAATAACCTAAAATCTTTGTTACTTATGTAAGCGAATATGTAAGATAAGGCCAATTGGCAAGATATAAAAATCCATGTTACGTGGGAATTTTGAGCAATTAATTCACCATCTGAAAGTACGAAACGATGGTATATCTATTTTCACTGTTTTGAGTTACAAGCAAAAAAAACCAAAACCAGACAAGCATTTTTCAATTAAGATGGGGAGGTTTGGTTCCAGGTTGTTGTTGAGATGTTGAAAGTTTCAGGACTAGGGACATTGGTAAAGAGGAATTCGAAATGGTTTTCAGCTGTTATTTTTAGAATTACTATGTCGGGATTAGGTTTTGCTTTGAGCAACTTCCTTGATGTAAGTTCTGTTGAGCAGTTGTAGAATTCTTTTTTAATTAAAAATTTTTTTCTTTACATTTTTGGAACAATCCAGAGTTTTTTCTCTGGATGATAGTTTGAAGAGAGTCAGAGTGAAAACCACTTAATAGAACCAGTATGCGATATAATCATGAATTTAAACAATATCTACCCGAGTATTTCGTGTCTTTCATGTTCTGAGCAGAATTTCTCCACTTCTAGCATTTGAGGCTCGGTTGGAACAAACCTAAAAAATCTTGAACATCTTCACGTTGCTCTTGGCTATGGTGTACTCTGTGGCGATGTTATGGAAACATGATAATTATAATTTTTTGTTTTCATAAATTCATATATCAACTTTAACCATCTGATTCCGGTTTTTTTTAGGACTTGCCAACACTGACGTCGATATAGATGTGCACAAAAACGTTGCCAATAAAAGGTCCCCAAAACACCACAAATGTAAAAAATTTAAGTATTTTCCTTCTCAGTTGTTAACTTTTTAGATTTCATTTTGTTTTACGATTCTTCACTTTTTTCCCTTATTTCTATTCTAATGTTCTATCCATCTATTTATATCTGTGGTATATCGTGTATAGAAAATCAGCAACTAAACATGCGACTTAAATGGGACATTGACCGGATATACTGGGGATATTTGTGCTCTCTGGGCGCCTCCCGTCGTCCAAAGCCTTAACAGTGAATTCAGCAAAGCAAGCCACCTTCAAAGAAACCATGTTGTTTGTGGGTTAGCTTCATTTGGGTTGGAAATATTATCGATACAGGCCTGTAGTTGCATATATCAGATGCTTTTCCTTTCTTTAGGACGGGAGTAATTCTGGCCTCCTTCCAGATATCTGGGAAGGTGTTTGTTGTTAGGGCGAAGTTAAAAATAAGAGACATGGGTTTAACCAAAGCACGAAACAAGGAACTTTATCAGCACCACAAGATACACAGTAATAAAGAGTAGACAACGTTGATCGCGGGGTCGGTTGTAAAAGCACTATATTTCTGGTCAAGTATACTCAGGCAACGCGACGGCCGGGGTAGTCCACGGTAACCCGAATCATCCGTCGGTGGGGAGGGGGGTGGATTAATCGATCGTAAAACCTCATGGCGGCGCTGTACCGATCTAAAAACTTATGTAACCACGCGCGTTCCCTTTAACGGGTACCGCACGTGCCGCTCGATAGTTACCGTCGTCGGTACCACCGCGATCTCCCACCTGTAATTTTTCCTCCACGGTTCAGGTAAGAAAAGGTAACCGTGTTGTCGCGTAGGCCAGTCGACTGTAGTATACCGTGGACGTCAGATCGCGCTCGCGCTACCATGTGACGGGCCCTTAAGGCAGGCGTCGAAGATGTCGCCCAGTGTCGGTTTGATGCCCGCTGGATTCTCCATTGTTTTCGCGTTGGTGTTGGTGCTAGTCGGGACTAGTGGGTGCGGTGGTGCGCGCAGGAAGAACGCGTCCTACCATCACCAAAACAACATGCGGATTAGGCCGATAGTGTCCGACAAGGAGGCAGATTTGGGTGCCAAAGAGAAAAGTAAGAGCCTGCGGAACGCGTGGGTACCGCGGGTACTACTTCCGCGTGCATTTTCGGAATCTTTAAGGCCCTTCGGGACGAAGCTTTCGCGATTCGTGACGTAACGAGTCGTTTTTAACCAAAACGCCCGTTACTATTATGTTATAGCCGCGGAATGTGCCGTAGTAGTGTCGCAGTCACGTATAGTGTACTGTAGAACGCGACCAGTTCGCCCACGGGTCCGTTTCACGCAAACCAAAACAATATAAAGGTGGACGCTACTCGTATATTATTATTTTTTCCGAAAGACACCTATTTATTATAAACTTGCTGGCATAGAAATCGACCCGTTGTGAGCTTTTGACTTGAATTTGATCTTTCTTTTAGAAACTACTGATCAGATTAACAAAAAATGTGTTTAAGTTTAACTTTTTTGTATTACTAACAACAAATAGGGTTATCGACAATTAGCAACTCAACACTTATTTTTTAATAATGAACCCCTCTTGCCCTAATAACATATCTTCTGATCAAGTTCGCTATTGTTTCTTGTGTAATCTTAAGTCACTCTCCCTCTACTGCAACAATAAGCTTTAGGATTGAGGTTGGGGTAGGAAGTCTAGTTCGAATTCTCCGTTTTAGCTCATCCCATAAATGTTCGATCGGATTGAGGTCGGGACTGCATGCTGGTCACTAAATGACTCTTGCACGATCCTTGCGGTGTGCGGCCTAGCATTGTCGTGCATAAAAATGCGATCTGTTAAAATATCCTCGCTGTAAAGTCTGTTCATAGATATAAGAAAGTGACTAACTGATACGAATTAAGGAAAAACGCGGTCAAGCTGTACGCATGAAATATGGCCGAACAGGTCCGTACTTTGCTTAGAATTAGAATAGAAGGGGTTTTAGTCAAGCAACTTTCAAATAAACCAGCGGTGGTGTCTTCATGGTAATCCAGAGAAGAATTCTTAATATTTTTCGCAGACAGAGAAAGTCCATTTTGATTCCAACCATCTTTAGAGCCAGCATGCAAAATAGTTATTCTTTTACCTCTTTTTGATGGCACGTTTATTTCACACTTATTAGTTGAGTCAACCCAACCATTTTCCGGGGTATCATAAGTGTCGAACCAGGATTCATCCAAGTAAATAATTGACCTTTGTTGTTCTCTGTAAATCCTAATTTTTTCTAGATATTCCAGTCGCCAGTTCCGTATTCTAAAAGATTCCATTAAAACTTGCCTTTTGTTAATTTTTTTTAATCTAAAACCCATGTGTTGAATACACTTCCATAAGGTACTTCTGCCACATTTAACACCGGTTTAATGTTTAATGTAAATTTTACGCCGTATTTTATCTTGATCACTTTCATCTACACTCGAGAAAATGTCATCATCGCTTCTTTTTTTCCTCGCTGAAATGGGATTATTCACAATTTTTCATACAGTTGACGTTGGAATTTTCGTCAATGTGGCCACGTTCAATGAAATTATTTTCTGTTACGGACCACAATTTTACCTGAATTTAAATTTCGAAACTTTAGGTAATAATCTTGTTGCATTGTATGTTAATGACCACCCTTGGATGATCCCATTCAAAAGCAATTGGTCACTTTCTTATATCTATGAACAGACCATACCTAACACATGTTAAACTTATTGCCCCTTCAGTATCCACCTCCATAAGGGCTCCGCTCTTCATTGCAAAAATCCTAAAGGATGCTTTCCTAGTAGAAGGGTCTGGACCAATCCATCATCCCCCAGGTTGATTAATATATACAAAATGGAATTTCAACAAAAAAAAGGTTCTTTGACCGATAGCAAAAAACGCACTAAACACTAAAAAAATTAAATCTACTCAGTGGAGACCGATTTCAAAATTTTTGGGGACAATTTCATATATTCGGTGGTTAAATAATTAATAATAATATATACTTTTTACAAAACTTCTGGATTCCTCCTGCCTCGGTTTTTGTTGACTCGAACTAGCAAACGTTTCGCCAATCATCCTGTTGGCTTCTTCAGAGCTTAACTGAAAACAATTTTCGGGATGACCAACGCAATGGAAATCCAGAAGTTTAATAAAAAGTGTTACAGCAGCCTTGTGGAAGTTTCTTTGAAAAATAACAATATATCTTTTATTTATCAAAAAAAAAAATCATGAATTACACCACAAATCGAAATTTAGCTTGTTCGAGTCAACAAAAACCGACGCAGGAGGAATCCAGAAGTTTTATACAAAATATTCAATGTTCAACTTGAGAGTAATAATAACAAAATGAAGATCCTTATATGAGACAGTAACCAGAAACATTCTCAAACAATCCAAAAAAAAAAACGAAATGTTGAAGGAATATCTTATGAATAAATGCCTGTACTCAGTAGAAGAGCACTTTACTTAGTCTTTTTCCCCTTCTTGTATATAGATTACTGTTTGTAGTCTTATTTTATATTATTTTTTGGCAATTACCTATAAAAACATTGTATCTGTCGATTTAGAAAATGAAGATTATTATTATTATTATTATTTTGTAATTTAACAATCTCAACAAAGAATTCTGGAGTCCTACAAAGTGTTCCGATGAGTTTCTTCTAATTAGACATCAACAAACAATTCCGAATCGCATCGAACGCTCTCAAATCAGTTGGGAGATATTTGAACGAGCCGAAAGCCGATTATTGGCGATCTTCGACGACGGACTTACCGTTATGATCGCAGGCTTCGCCAACGCGGCGCCACAATCTTGAATACCTTCACTTTACCTGTACTCGCTATACAAGGAGATGCAATCTCTTACCGCTCAGCGTAACCCAGAAGGACGTTCGAAAACGAGAAGATGACGGAATAAGGAAAAGTCTTCGCCAAAATACAACCTTCGCCATTATTTTAAGGTGACTTAAAAATAAGGCTTCCTAAAATAATAGATAGATAAATAGATTCATTTATTGACTACGTTTCGTACAAAAGGAACGTACAATTGTAGCAAGTCAGAAGTTATATTGAAGTGTAATAAAATCACATTAAAAAATAACATAAAAACACACATCTAATACAAACAAAATTATACAGTACTACACAGTTTTAAAGCGCATCGATATGTATCTCTAATAACTGGTAGTATATATAGATGCAAGGAAGGGGCATCACTTTAAATTTTTTAAAATAAGGTTGAATGGCCCTTTTCTGCAGTCTAAAAATCTCCACAGCAGCTGAGGAATCACCCCACAGCACCGTGCCACAGCATAAGTGCGAATGCAACAAAGAAAAATAGACCATAAGCAGAGTCTTTGTTCCTATCAGGCCTCTCAGTCGTCGAAGAACCAATATGTTGCTGGACAATCTATTTTTCAGGTCTGAGATATGTTGTTTCCAATTTAGACTATCATCGATCCTAATGCCAAGCAACTCGACGGACTGTCCACTATTTACCAAGCAATTGGAGGAAAACACAATACTCTGGGTCTTGTCTAAATTTAATTTAAGATAATTATGTTCGAACCAGAAATTAGCCCTGTCCTCCAACATGCCAACCCTAACGGACAACTCCTCAACACTCTTAGCAGATGTAGTGAAGGATATATCGTCGGCAAACATCACGCAGTGATTGGGGGCCAAGAAATGATAAAGGTCATTTATGTACATTGTAAATAGTAGCGGGCCCAGGACGGAACCCTGGGGCACCCCGCTTACTACTGATTCAAGTGATGAACGGTCATCCTGGTATTCTACAAACTGCTGTCGGCCCTGCAAGTAGGACGCTATAAGATCTAAGGGCAGACCTCGTATACCAAATCTATATAGCTTTTTAATAAGAAGCTGGTGAGAAACACAGTCGAAGGCCCTGGAGAGATCACACAAGGTCAAACCAACTAATTCACCCCGCTCGAGGCCCTCAACTATCCCACTCACAACTTTAGACACTGCTTGGATCGTCGAGCACACTCCCCTAAATCCAAACTGACCAGCACAAAGACCTTCGATCTTATTAATATAAGAAGTTAGCTGATCTTTTAGTAAGATCTCAAAAACTTTTCCGAACAAAGGCACGATTGAAATCGACCTGTAGTTGTGTTAGCATCATTTATATCACCTGCCTTATGGATTGGAACTACTCTCGAAGTCCTAAACAGCGACGGAAATAAATACATTTACTATTTACAAGAGCATATAAAGGAAGTCATTGCTATCGATTTTTTAACTGTGGTGGCTTTTACTTCAAAAACCCATTTATCAAAATAAATAAGAATTAAAAGTTAAGATTTTCACGAAATTATTTTACATGACGAAAATGACCATAAAACCTTAATAATGTTGTTGTGAGAATTTAAGTTCAATAAAGGAGAGGTATTTAAATCTAATTGGTCGTTAAGCAATCATTTGGATGTCTCATTTGGTTAATCTCCATGGCTTCTAATAAATTTAATTTTCTACTTTTTGTGGCTGTATGTAAAATATCAAAATTGTCGTCAAAAATGTGTTTTTCTGTGTTCAAGTGTGTAGCATAATTAGAATCTAGACTATTGTTTTTAAATGCCCTTTTATGTTCGATAATGCGTATCTTGAAGGATCTACCTGTTTGTCCAATATAAATTTTAGGACAAGATCCGCATTTCAACCTGTAGACACCTGATTTTTGAGATTTTGGACATTTCGTTTTATTGTTTTTCAAAAAATTTTGCTATTGTGTTGTTAGTTCTGAAAGCTATTTTTAAACCACATTTTGACAAATGTTTTGAAAATTTTTCACTGGATTCTCCTACGCATGTAATTGTTTTAAATTGTTCGTGTTCTGTATTAGGTTTCGGATAAATAGAGTTTACTGTCGTCTGGATTTGTTTTTTATTTATAATTTTTTCTATAATGGACGGATTGCTGCGGTTCACATTAAGTTCTTTGTTGTAATTTTCTGTCGAGAGTGGCGTATTAAGAAGTCTGTGTATAAAAGAGTGAAATGCAGCCATTTTGTGTATAAGGGTGATTTATGATAAATGGAAAAATCTAATTTGATTTTCGTTTTCGAAT